GGGAGGAGGCTATACGTAGATTCTTGTAATCAGTTCCCCCTTTCCAACCCACATTCCCTCCACCCTCCAGGCATTGCCAATCTCACCACTGGTCCTGAAGGGGTCATCTGTCCTGGATTTCCTATGTTTCCAGTTGCTATCGGTACCAACGTACAGCCTCTGGTCTAGCAGGATTTGTAAGGTAGAATTGGGATCATGATAGTGGGGGGGGGGAAGCCTTTAAGAACTAGAGGAAAGTTCTATGTTTCATCCAGGAATTTTATCAGTGGTACATTTTACCTATTATTAAGTATGTATTATGCCCTGCTTTTGAGGCTTTTGCGGTAATGCCGGGCGATGGGAAAAAGAGCTTCTGCCAATGCCTCTGGTTCTTGGGTTTACATGGAGAAAGTGTAATACCAACAACTTGAGGATTCAAGGAGAAAGATTTATGTGTACAAAATAAAATACAAACAACTATAGGATTCATAACCCTGGTGGTGTATTGATTAAAAGTCCAGCTATTGACCTGCAGGTCTAAGGTTCGTGGGAAAAAGAGGTAAAAGTCTGTTTTCATAAAGATTCAGACTTAAAAACCAAACCCACTGCCACTGAGTCAATTCTGCCTCAGATCTATTCTCTAGAGTTTCTGAGACTGTATGTCTTGACTGGAGTAGATAGCCTCATCTTTCTCCTGCAGAGCAGTTGGTGGGTTTGAACCTGTGGTAACCAGTCTAATGTAGTCAGGGCCCATCGATAAGGAATACAGCCTTGGAAATCCTAGGGAGCAGATCCACCCTGTCCTATAGGGCCATTACCATCAAAATAAACTAGAGGGCAATTTCTTAAAAAACACAATCCAATAAGCACTGAAAGGCCAAAGAGATATGGAAGAAGAATTTTAAGATTGCTATCCTTTTCTTCTCGAGGAGTTGGGGCCTGGAGAACACTGGGTGCAAGAGGGAAATTTCAGAAAGATACAGAGAGAAGTTTGTCTGGAGTCCCCAAGGGAATATGGATGGAATATTACTGGAGGTCAAGGTCAGAGTAGAATATGGACTTAGTATAAAATGCAAACTGGAGGGGAGGTAGAAGAGAGGCAGAGGGAATAAGGTTTTTAGCCAAGAGGCTTAGCAGCAAGGCAGAGTGAGGTCTACAGAATGTGGGAGAAGTGGAACAGAACTAGTGCTCTCACCTGTTCGAGTGTGTATCCCAAACTCACTTTGCACATGGCCAGACATGGTCGCTGACAGTTGAAATGTTACCATGTTGGATTTGTAAGCAAAGAGACCTGGCAGTCAAGCAACACTTGTTGATTAACAGTTATCAATCTCTGCTTTAAAAGATTATAACAGACTCTGAGAAATCCTAACTGTCCACAGTCACATTACACAGGTGTGTCAATTACTGGTGATTGGATCCAATCATTACTCTTAAAACTCATTTTGGTCAAATCAATCCCAACTCCCAGTGACCCTAAAGGACAGAGCAGAATTGCCCAATAAGGTTTCTGAAACTTTAATCTTTATGGAAGCAAATTGCCACATCTTTCTCTCCTGATGGCTGGTGAGTTTGAAGTGCTGACCTTTGGGTTAGCAGCTGAGTGTTTAACTACTGTTACACTCGGACTCGTTTTACTCTTCAAAGAGTCATAAAGTGAAGCTCAGAAAAGGTCCTCGTTTAGGCCTAGGGGGCACAGAGTCCCTTCACAAACTCAGTTGAGCCCATGCTTAGCATTCATAGCACTGATTCCCCATCAGATGTGGCCCATCCTACAACATCACAGAGGCAGGAAGCTGCTCTCTGAAGAGGGAAGGGCAAGGCCACTGGACGTTACTGTGCTCAAGCCCTGAAGGCAGAGCTGCAACTGTCGTGACAACATATATTACTATGGGAGGGGAACAGCCTTACTCATAATAGGAGAAGGGCATGAATTGTTATTTAAACACAACTAAAGCACAGGAACCACTATTGTCAAAGAAAACACAAATTCAAGAAATAGACGGAGCTCCCATTTATTACAAGTACAGACTATCTGTAACCTAAAACCTCTGCTTACTAAACCACCGTGTTTAAAACTCTCAAGCCTTCCACAGGAATGTTCCTGGACCTCCATGGTCTCTCTCCAGAATACGCCAGCACATCGGATCCAAGAACACAAAAGGCAGGGATACGTAGTGGGCACTGACAGACCTGCTCTTGAATCTTCTTCAAAGTGAGTCTCATGGCATCTGTGTCAGAAGACTATCAGCATTCTCAGAACTGCTGACAGGATTTCTAGATATCAACAAAAGGAGCTTCTTGCCACATAAAACACATACTTTTCAAATGTCAACCTCTTGTCGTGATTTTGCCTAACTACCTACCCTTCTATGACAATACTTAGTCACAAAGTCAAGATTCCCTTCGGATTCTGGAGCCTCGTAGTCTTCATAGTTTAGTTCCAAATGTACCAAGCCTGCAGAAAATGTGAGCTATAGCGGGACCAGTGAAAGAAATGAATAAAGAAAACCACGGAAGAACTGATGCCTTTGAATCATGATGTTGGCAAAGAATATTGAAAGCATGCAGATTGCCAGAAAAACAAACAATCTGTCTTGGAAGAAGTACAGCCAGAATGTTTCTTGGACGCCAAGATGGTGAGACTTCGTCTCATGTACTTTAGACATGTCATCAAGAGCTAGCAGTCCCTGGAAAAAGACACCATGATTGGTAAAGGAGAGGGACATTGAAAAAGATGTCCTTGATAAGATGGATGGACGCAGTGGCTGCAATAATGGACGCCGATACATTAACAATTGTGAGGATGGCACAAGGCTGGGAAGTGCTTTGTTCTGTTGTACGCAGGGTCAATATGGGTCAGAACGGACCCACCAGTGCTTACCAACACTAAGAGTATCTTTAATATCAAATAGAATTAAAAATAGTAGCAATAATGCTCATCCATACTTTCTGTATGCAAATCTTTTTCTAACATTTCCAACTTTTAAAAGAAACCTCATAGGCCCTTACAACAAGATTACTATAACATGTCAATCACAAACACATGCTATAGGTGAGTGGATTCTATAATGGAGGTTAAGTGACCACCAACACAGGTGAAAGACAAGTCTCCAGATCCCTAAACTTACCTGTTTATTTAGCCCCAACTGACTCCAACAAAATCAAATCCACCATGAAGTCGATTCCGACTCACAGTGGCCCTAGAGGAGTTTTGGAGGCTGTAAATATTGAAGGGAGCAGCCAGCCTCCTCTTTCTCGCTCAGAGCGGCCGGTGGATTTGAACAAATAACCAGTGCCGCCAGCACTCCTTCGCTGCTGATGAGTATTCTGAAACATGGTTTTACTATCAATTCCATTTCAGCTCATGGCTGCCCCTCTTTTTACAAGGTGAGGAAGAAAACCGTGCATGAAATTAGCAAACCCACATAACTCGAGAAATAAAAAGTATTCCACTAATAATAGATTACAATCCTGATTCATTTCAATGAATCTACCCTAAGCCTTTATCCACAACGAGAAAGTTTACTTTTTCAAAATACCCGGGTCTCTCTTATTGGCTATTTCAGTTTACAGCTAAAAGCTAGTCAAAGAGTATGACATGAACACTTAATAGGAAAAGAAAAAGGAAATAAAAAGACATCTTTTACTTCTAAGACACCTCTTTTGTCCTTTCCAAAGACTTCAATAACATTACTTCTATGTTCTTACAAATGTCACCTTTGTATAAACAAGAATTTTGTTAGCTATATTCCAATGCTTCAACATGCCTTTGATCTTGATAACACAATTATACCAGGTGATTTTTCTCATTTCTTTCAAACATAACCTGAAAATATCCAGCAGAAAACGATGACAGCAACATATGCACAAATGTTTCATACTATTATACAATTGATGTATAGATTGTTATAAGCGCTATAAGAGCCCCCAATTATATATATATATATATATATATATATATATATCCAGCAGAGAATAACGTACTGATTTTCAATTTAAACCACTACTTTTTAATAAGCATTTACTAAATAAATTAATTAATCTGGAGGTCACTTTTGGAATTCCAACCTTTTTCATTTCAAAGCACACATGAAAAACTTATGTGTGCGAGGATGCTGGGGTGAATCAAGGAAGCACCAGGTGGCCAGGGGCCACAACCAGCAAGGCCCAACAGCCTCTTGCTCATGTGCCTGCTCGAGCACAGAGTAGATATTGCCTCTACACATCTGAACGCAGCCTTGCCCTTTCACTATCTTTGAGCCACAACCCAAAGAACGTTTTAAAGACACGGATCTGAGTCCCTCAAGGATGGCAAAATAGCATTTCATTGTGGTGTGACCTGAAAAGAATTCTCTGGAGACAGGGCAGAGAGATAGAAACACCGTCTCCAGAAGGCAAAAGCCCCCGACAGAGGACATGTTGGGGAATAACAGCTGCACATTTTGAGAAAGCCTCCAAGGTGATGCCGATGCACAGTGATCCTATAGGACAGAGTAGAACTGCTCCGGGAGTCTCCGAGATGGTAACTGTTCACGGAACTAGAAAGCCAAGAGGTTCTCCCAAGAGGTGGTTGGTAGTTTCGAACTGCTGACCTTGAGGATTGCAGCACAAGTGGCAACCCCTACGCCACCACGGCTCCTCCACGGCTCCTCCACACTTTGATAGTTTTGTTTTAAAAAGTTCTCTAACATTTCTGTAACAGTACTTTTTGACTCCTCCTCGTGGCTCTCCCACCAGGTAAGAATACTCTACACATTCAAAAATCAAGCTTTACCCCATTAAGACCAGTTCCTGTGGCACCCATGCTAACTCCTGGTGACTTCATGGGGGTCAGAGTAGAACGGGGCTCCATGGGGCTTTGCGTAAGGCTTTTGTGGACATGGAACAATTCATGGGCCTTTCTTCCAAGGTACCCCTGGGTGAACTCAAATCCCTGACCAACCCCTGTGGTTAGCAGCCGATCTCATTAACCACCTGCACCGCCTAGGGACTCCTGCCCCGTTCTTCTCTCGCTTTACCTGAGACGGATCTGCCTGGGCTAGTTCAGTCGTGACCTTCAGGATCTGGCGAAGATTCGGTCCTTCATCTTCGATCAGAAGATAAGCCAGCAAAAGGAGAGCAGGTGCAGGGATGGCTGTCGTGCGAGGAAGCAGCGACTCCACTGCCGCCAGCCAGTCGCAGGCCGCACCCTCTGCTCTCATCACCGCAAGCAGCCTCCAGGCTGTCACTGTTGAAGCGAGCGTGCTGGTGATCGGGAATGCAAGTTTGTAGGGGAGCTGAAGAATAAACATAAAAAGGGGGAAAGTCATAAGTAAAGGAGAGAAACATTATTTGTCAGATCTACAACCCTTCGTATTACATTTCATTATATGCATTAAACAACAACAAAATGAATATAAAATTGAAACTTTCAACTCTTGCCAAAAACATATCTGCCCACATTTCAGAAAAGAAGCCAACTACAAAGACCACATATTGTATGGTTTCTACTATAAAAGGGTAAGAATGTTAGCAGAAATTGATTACTGCTCACCAGGGGTGGTGGGGAGAGGGATAATGGGGAGAAATGGCTGCTAATGCTACAGTTTCTTTTCAGAGTTATAGAAATGGTCTAAAATTAGATGGAACTCTAGAACAATGTGCCACAACTTCTCCTCAGAGTCACCGGTCTCTCCCAGTTTGGGTATGAAAAGAAAAACAACAAAAAAAGATCGATATATTAGATACAAAGGGGGAAAAAAATCCATTCCACTAAAAAGCATTCACCAGTAAGAGGGAAGGAAGGAAAAATGCCCTGGCTTGTATGTCCCCAGCTCAAGACCTTGTGAAGAGGTAGCCCTGGGCCGATGGCAGATGGCAGGCTTGGACTGCGGACAATTCGTGTTTATAAGAGACCGAACTGGGATCAGAGTAGAGCTGGTTCAGCTGGCACCTAGGGAACTCATTCATAATTCTGAATAATGCCCACAATAATAGCCTTACAGCTCTAAACAGAAATAATACCCAGAGAAGATACTATGCTCAAATCCACCTGAAAAATGTTTCCTCGGAGGAGCCAGTGGCGCCGTGAGGGCTAGGAGCAGGTGAATGGGCTTAGCCTGGGTACACAGATGGCTCAGAGGGAGCCACAGGCATTAAAGAGACATTCGCCATCCGTCTCATGCTATAAGAAAAATTCAGAATCTCTAGACTATAACAGCCCTAACTGCAACTGAAGACAGGCTTATATGGATAAGAGCCATGTTACTGCAAGACTGAGAGGTAAACCTTGGGCTTTATAAAATTTTTGAATAACAATTCTATTGAGATATAATTCACATGCCATAAAATACTTTTCCAACGAACTTTTTGAAGTCCCCTGGTATAATTCAGTGGCTTTTAGTACATTCATAAAATTCGTTAACTATCACTACAACTTTATGTGAGAGCATTTCCATAACTCTGAAAAGAAGCCATACAAAAGAAGTCTCTGTAGTAGCAACCATACAATAAATGGTCTCTTGTGATTGGCTTCTATTGCTTGACAATGTTTTTCAAAATCCACCCATGTTCTAGCATATATTCTACTTCCATCTGTTTTTATTGCCAAAGACGATTTCGTGGCACAGATAGACTGCCACTGTGTGGGTTCCCTCATCCGTCAGGAACCCTGGAGGTTCTGGGTTCTATGTGGGCAGGGCTGCTAGCCACAGGGCAGCGGTCCAGACCCACCCGCTGCTCCACAGGAGAAGGCTGACGTCTCCTACGACAGGCCTGCTCTGCCCACGAGGTCACCGAGACGCAGAATTGACTTCATGGGGTGGGTTTATGCAGCAACTGAGGAAGGTCAGTAGTTTCGGATTTTCATTTCTTAAGAATAATGCTGCGATAAGCATTCGTGTAAAGTTTTTTGTGTCAACATAGGTTTTGAATTCCCTGGCATATATCCCTAGGAGTGGAAATAAAATCTATTTGAAAGTAAATGGCAAAATACGTTTTTAAGATAAATGTATACCTTCTGTGTTGATAGGGAATTATAGGTCTCAAGTGAAAATACAAGATACTGTGGCTGGAATGCCATCATTTTTTTTTTAAGCAAAAGAAGATATTTTGCATTTGCTTATATGTACCAGGACAAACACTGAAGGAATCGCGAATTCCTGTTTTTTCATTTGCTATGGTAGGAACTAGACACTCGTGAGTGAAAACCATTTGAGTGTATTATTATTGCAAGAAATGTTCAATTTAAAAGTTAAATAATATTTACATTTGTATAATGGTATTTCTTTTAAGACACCTGTCCCCTACCCCCACCCCCAAGAAAATGACATTCATTAGAGATGAGGGCCAAATTTCTTTAACTGAGAAATAGCACGGGTCTTAGATGCAACTAGACCTGGCCCTCTGCCCAGCCAGGCCAGCTACCAACGAGCCTTACTTTCCTGGTTTGTCAGAGGGAACTCATGAGCACTCTCCTGTCGCTGTAATTGAAGCAGATAACTCTAACTACACAGAGAGACAAATCTGAAAAATCTAAAGCTGCAAAGCTAAGGAACCATTATTACTTTAGGAAAAAAAAACACCCATAGACAAAAGGGTAAAAGAAAGTAATTAGTAAACCACGATAAAACTGCAAACTGAGTCAAAAGCAGCAATATTACACAAATATCTAGCAGTATATGCTGGATAAATAAATGTAGTTGATCTCTATACTGGAATATTATTGAGTTGTAAGAAATAATATGAAGCATTGATACATGCCACACATTGGTGAAATTCGAAAATCTTAGAAGAAGCGAAAGAAGCAGTAACAAAGGACCACATGTTACATGATTCCACTAAGGCAATGTAAAGGAGGCAAATCTATAGACACAGGAAGTGGGTGAGAGGTGGCTTCCATGGTGTTCTCTCAGCAGTTCTCAAAGCATAGCTTCAATGTGTAAATCCCTAAAGCAAGGTACAGCACAGCTGCGTAGTTGGTACACAAGATGTTGAAGACACAAACAATGACAGAGAGCAATGAATTGTGATGCGAGGAGGTTGAGCACCATTTACCGAGCTAGAAAAGGAATCATTCTGATAAGCCCACTCAACTCTGTGTCACTGAAGAGAATCTGATTCATAGCAACCCTACAGGACAGGATACAACTGCCCCTGTGGGTTTCTGAGACTATAAATATTTCCAAAAGTAGACAGCCTTATTTTTATCCTGAAGAGCAACTAATGGTTTCGAACTCCTAACCACGTCAAGGTGAGCAGCACAACGAGTAGCCCACTATACCACCAGCAGCTCTGATGGAGGAGAAGAAAGCATTACTCACTAAAGCTTGGAGCGTGGTCAATTCATAGCTGTGTTTAGATAGAGCAGTGGTTCTCAACCTTCCTAATACCGCAACCCTTAATACAGTTCCTCATGTGGTAGTGACCCGCCCCCCCGACCATAAAATTATTTTCGTTGCTACTTCATCACTGTAATTTTGCTACTGTTATGAATCGGGTGACCCCTGTGAAAGGGTCATTCGACTCTCAAAGGGGTCGCAACCCACAGGTTCAGAACCACTGAGATAGGCCATTAAGAATAGATGTAGGAAAAGAAGGGAAAAAAAGAATAGATGGGGGAAAAAAGAACAGATGTAGAAATAACCCAAGGGTAAAGTATGGCTTAATTTTTTTAAATTCTTTTAAACTCTTTTTGATAAGTCTTTTAAATAAGAACACTATTGTAAGGAGGCTGCTTATAGCCCTAATATTGCTTCCTCCTAACTCCCCACCAGCTGCTAAAGGGAAAGTCCAAATGTAAGAAAGAAGGTACCCGTACACCTGAGCAAATGGTACTGAATCTGAATAATCAGGAATTAAAATTAGGGGGCTTCTTTGTAAATATCATTAGCAACTTAAGAAACAAAACTCTTAGACAAAATATATCCGCCCCTACCCAATCTCTGTCAGGACTCAGGCCTCATTCTATATGCGCAAATGAGGGGAGATTAAAGCGTTATTGGTATTTTTTTAGCCTCACTTTGTACTCCTACTAAGTGAGCTCTAGTGGTATAGTGGGTTATGCTTTGACCTGCTAACAGGTCTGCAGTTCAAACCCAGCAGTGGCTCCACAGGAAAAAGAGGAGGCTCTTCTTGTAAATATTTATAGTCTTAGAAACCCAAAGGGGTAGACAGATGAATTCTGTCCTACAGGGTCACTGTATTAGTCTAGGTACTTTGGAGAAACAAATCCACGGCGACTCACGTATAAGAGAGAGTTTTATGTAAAGAAAAGGTGCATCAGGAAAACATCCCAACCCAATGCTGCCCAAGCCCACAAGTCCAACATTAACCCATTGACCCAACACCAGTCCACAAAGTCCTCCACCTCACAAAACAGAGGCAATGATGCCGACTGCAGGAGGAAAGCTGAGTCCATGAACGTGTAAGCATCTCAGCACTGGCAGGGGTCTCCACACAGCTGCTCCAGCACCCTGGGCTGCATCGGGATAGATCCATGCGGCTTCTCCTTGGGGATGTCTTGTAGGAAATCCATCTTGCAAGCTGAAGCAGGGAACTGCTAAGGCAGCTGCACCCGATGCAACCATCACAAAACAAGAGACCCGAGAACTAGAAAGGCGAGGCTTCACCACCCATTTATCCCTCCGCCTTTCAACCAGCACCGCATGTGACTATCGGCCAGGCTGGCACAATTAACTAACTCAGTCACCATGAGTCAGAATCAACTCAATGGCCCCGTGTTTGGGTTTGGAGGGTTATTGTGAGAAGAACTTCACTATCTTGATGCAAATCAATTATAGAAAGCTTTGGTCCCCAAATTAAGATAGAAGAAACTATAGTATAAATTCAATGTGCCTATGACTATAATTATAGAAATGTCCTTTCTGTGACTAGCTCACACATGGAATAAGAATGGTTGGATTTGTGCGGAGACATTTCCCAATACCTGATGAGAGGTATCTTTGCTTTTGAGATGCAGTTACAGCAAGGGCTCTTGCTTGTGCTTACAGAACAATGCTCTCCTCTGAGGCTTAAGGTGTTTTACCACCTTTGTTTAATGTCTCAGCATCCTCAACTCAATTCCCATAAGAATAAGAGTTGAAAAGTAATACTGCATTGTACTGAGGGCAACACTAAAAACAGCAAAAGAGGAAAAGGCTGGCAAATACAGGACTGAAACCCAGATATGTACAATCCTTTCATATGATCATACTAAGCAGAGTAAGACTGAACACTAAGAATGCGATATGCCTGACAAGCAGGAGCCGCAATGGAATGAAGGACAGACCTGTTCTCTCCCACTTGGGGTCAGTGGAGTAGGGGTGTGCACCCGGGAATACAGCTTGGGGTGCCACGTTCAGAATAGAGCCTTAGTTCTTGCATACCTCAGAACACCCAGGCACCCCAGCAGCATTACCCAGAATGGATGGGGTCCCAGATCAAGTAAAGTGCTGCCCTGACTAAACAATGTGATGAGGAAAAAAGGAGGCCAAACTCAAATACGTTGGAGAACATGAGGTGAAGTAGGGCAGGTTTTCTTTTCTTTCCTTCAGGGTTCCTTAGGCCCTGGACTGGCAAGTCACCGGCAATCATAGGAGGGAAAATAGTGGGAAGCATTGCTAAAACGCTACATTTCTTAACAGGGCCACCATCCCTCTCACAGTCCAGAAGAATTTACTACGTTCTCCTAGACCAGGGCGTGACAGGATGCTAAGTTCAATGTCAGAGCTTAAACACAGCAGATGCTTCATCAGGAGGTGAGGCAACAGAAATTCCAGATCAACCTGGTGGTGAAGAGTCACACAGAGGAAGTAGTACCTTTAGGGGGTCATCTTGGTAGCATTCCTGCTGCACCATTTCCAAAAGGTTTAGAGCCAGCTGCTGCCTTGAGGGGCCCTCTTCATCCACGAATATGCAGTCTTCCAAGGCAGTGGAGGATAAAATCTGCAGGACTGGCATTACTAGCATCAGGGATGACTTTGGGATTTTCTGGCCCTCAGCAAAAGAGAGGAGCTTCAAAGCTATTAATCAGAGTAACAATGATTCAAGTTTAAAAAATCAATACCACAGTCAAGAGAAATGCTATTTTATTTAAGGAAGATATGTCAATGAATTTTCTTTCCACTTTACAACTGGGTCAGACATTTAACTAAAAGGTTATATCTTATCCTTTGGGGTGGAAAAGGATCATACACATTAACTATTCTTCCAAACAGGTATTAATAAATTTATAACTGAAAATTTAATGATACTCTTAGGGAAAATATGTATATCATATATCATCAGGTATAAACCAATCCTCTTTTAGGTCAGTGATCTTTTTTTTTTTTAAGTAATATGGCCGAACATTTGTCAGTTATATCCCATCAGATCTCACTATTGCCCTCAGCACACAGAGGCAAGAGGCCCTGCAGTAGCCAGCCAACTGCAACCTGGTCAGTAGACACAGCATCAACATATATTCTTCCCTCACAAGTGCATCCAAGATTTTTTTTTTAATCATAACAATTTTTTTTTTCAAGACTGTTTTCAGAGACCTTTAAAAGGGGTGATTTCATTGCAAATCTGCCAGTTGTAGCAACTTGATTCTTTATCACATTATTCTTATCTAGAACATTGATGCCTTCTCATCCCCTCCCTATTCTCACCCACCTTGTTACTTTTCTTTAAATCCATACTGGATGGTCAGAAAACTGACTAATCTAGGTTGATGCCATAACCAGGTTCAGACCACAACCACAAATTAAATCTTGTTCAATGTGATACTTGGTTTTGATCAGAAAAATTTTACCAAGAAATGGCAAACACCATTTGTGTCAAAAGTTTCAGGCTATGTGTGATCACGAGGTGTCGATGGGATCAGGTATCAGGTACTAAAGAACAAAAAATCATATCATTGTGAATGAGGGGGAGTGTGGAGTGGAGACCCAAAGCCCATCTGTAGGCAACTGGACAAGCCAGTGAGGGTGTGATGTAGCAATGATGAAATATACAACTTTCCTCTAGTTCCTAAATGCTTCCTCTCCCCTCCCCTCAACCTATCATGATCCCAATACTACCTTACAAATCTGGTTGACCAGAGGATGCACACTGGTACAGATGGGAACTAGAAACACAGGGCATCCAGGACAGATGATCCCCTCAGGACCAGTGGTGAGAGTGGCGATCCCCCGAGGGTGTAGGGAAGGTGGGGAAGAAAGGGGGAACAGATTACAAGGATCTACATATAACCCCCTCCCTGGGGGACGGACAACAGAAAAGTGGGTGAAAGGAGACGTCGGACAGTGTAAGACATGACAAAACAATAATAATTTATAAATTATCAAGGTTTCATGAGGAAGGGGGGAGCAGGGAGGGAAGGGAAAAAATGAGGAGCTGATACTAAGGGCTCAAGTAGAAAGCAAATGTTTTGAGAATGATGAGGGCAACAAATGTACAAGTGTGCTTGACACAATGGATGGATGTATAGATTGTGATAAGAGTTGTATGAGCCCCCAATAAAATGATTGGAAAAAAAAAGTTTCAGGCTATTGTTTCTCAGATATTTTCACAACTATGAACTAGCTGAAAAGTCTTTCAAAATGGTTCTTGGTAAATTTTGGGGTATGAAATCTTGACCTAGGTAATATTTGAAGGTGGTGGGGAACTACTTGATAAAGATTAGCTAGGAAAATTCTAGAACAGAAATTCAAAATATCCAACATTTCTCAGTATAACATAATATGTAGCTGAAGTGATTCCTCATAATATTTATTGTACATTGATAGTTACTCTAGTGAGTAAATATTTATTCACCCAGATTTAAGATTGGCTTCTGTTGACTTGCTGGAGTCTGGAGAAGAAGTGAAGCTATTCCAATTACAACCAGTTCAACTGGAAAGTCCTAAAAGAAAAAAGAAAAAAAAAAGTTGCTCAAAAAATCCCGAGACCCATGGCTTCATGTGTTGTAAGGTCTGTCACCCTTGGTGCCTCAGAGCGATCTCAGGTACAAAACAACAAAGTGTGGCCAAGTCTTGCACCAGCAATCCTCACGACTGTGGTCATGTTTGAAGCCTCTGCGGCCATCACTGTAGCCACCTCCTGAGGGTCTTCTTCTTCACTGACCGCTTCTCCACGCACGAAGTCCTTCTCTAGGGATTGGCCTTCCAGGTAACATATCCAAAGACCGTGAAATGAAGTCTCACCACCGTCACTTCTACAAAGCATTCTGGCTGCACTTCCTCCCAGATGTGTTTGTTGATTCCTCAGGCAGTCCACAGTATGCTCAATATTATCTTTTCCCAACGCCACAGTTCAAATGCATCGATTCTTCTCTGGTCTGCTTTATAATTAGGGACCTTTCACATGCACAAGCAGCAACAGACAACACCATGACCGGGGTCAGGTACACGTTGCAGTGAAAGTGACTTCTTGGTCCTTTAACACTTACTTTAGAAGTCGTGTGCATCACATTTGCCCAAAGCAATGTACCATTTGATGTCTTGGCTGCTACTTCCATGAGTATTGATTAACATATAACTAGAAAGAGTATATTTGACATAAAAGATTGCAACCCTGATATACAAAATTATTTAGACAAGCCTGAAGTTCTGAAAGAAGAGTTGGTGAAGACCGCTCTTATAAATTCACATATAAATTCAAACTATCCTCCTAAAACAAAATAAGCTTGAAATCAACACAATTCAGAGACTATATGAAACAGATCAATTAATTGTTCAAAACAGTTGATAATTAACTAAAATATTTAATTTTAAAATATCTTGTTTCTGAGCAATAGCTCAATTGTCAACATACCGAACATCAACATCACTTATTTATATAACTTGGATAATGACTAACCCAAGATAAATGTTAATAAACCATGTTATTATAATAAAAGTAACCATTAGCACCCAAGGAAGCCAAGATTATGTTTAAATTACAGCAATTTATTAAGTATATTTAAATGTAGCCAAGGAATAACTATAGAAATTTTAAATCATTCACTTCACCAAACATAAAAATAAAATGAAAAAGGAATATGTATAATTAAGTTCTAATAAATAAAATACATATAACATCAGATGTTATTTGACGTTTTTATATCAATAAAAACAAAAACAAGAATGACTGCCATAGAGTTGATTCCGACTCATAGTCATCCCATAGGACACAGGAGAACTTCTCCTTAAGGTTTTGGAGATTTTAAATCTTTATGAGTACAACAGCCTCACAATTCTCCCACACTGCCGTATGTACACTTGAACTGCAGACCTTGTGGTTAGCAACTCAACATATAACCCACTACATGGTCAGGAATCTTTAAAGTCCAGCACACACTGCTAAAATGATTTCCTTCTGAAAAGTGGCAGAAGCACCTGTGAATTAATAATGAAGAGAAAGAAAGTAGAAGGGAATCTGTCAGATAGAGCAATATTTTACAGAAACATTTGTGAGAAAACAATTCAGTCTGACATCTCGGGTATCATAATCTTGGAATACTATCAACTCTGGCCTAAATTAATAAATACGATCTTTCTTCAATGAATATCTCAATTTTACCATTCAAAAAGTAAAAGTAGTCCCAGGGCAAAATTATCTAAACTGCTTACTTATGGACTTCTAACATACATTAAAAAGAACACTTTGGTCCTTGATTATTCAGAATAACCAGAGAAGGGAAACTCATAAAGGTCCATCCACAGGTAAATGGAATGTATACATACCAAACCAAACCACACTGGCTGCCTTCGTGTCAATGCTGACCCATAGCACCCCCTGTGGGTTTCTGAGACTATTTACAGGACTAGAAAGCCCAGTCTTTCTCCCAAGGAGCTGTTGGTGGTTTTGAATTGTCGACCATGTGAACTGCAGCCCAACGCATAAGCACTATACTACCAGGGATCCTTAATGTACACATACAATAGAATTATTAAGTCATAGGCAGAAATGGAGTCCTGACTCAAGCTAGGACATGCATGAACCTGAGCATGTTACGCAGAAGGAAATATGTCAGATACAAAAGGACAAGTTTTGGATGATTCCACTGATATGAAATCTATAGAATGGACGAAAGTACTGAGAGCGAGGTGTACTAGTTGTAACCAGGAGCAGGAGGGAGGCAGGCTGAGTGTCATGCCAGCCAGCACACTGAGTTTCTGTTAACTGAGAACCACTCACGGTCATCGAGTTGATTACAACTCCTCTGCGGGTCACTATGAGCCGACTGGACTGGATGGCAGTGAAGGAGGACAGAGTAGAACTGCATGCTCGGCATCTGTCTCAGCTTTCTCCATGAAGGGGCTTGTGTGTTTCAACTGCTAACCTTGCGATTGGCAGCCCAAATCATAACCCACGATGCCACTAGAGATACAGTTTCTGTTAAGGGCGATGGGAAAATCAGTCCCGGCAATGGTTACACACCATAACCAAAGTATTTAGTGTTATTAAATTATACACTGAAAACTGTCAAAACAAATGTTTTATATATGGATCACGAGACAAAAATAAGCATCAAAAGAAGAAAAATAATTTGTGAGTTTTGAAAATGGATTTTCTTTCAGTTTGCTACTTTGAGGTCTATGTACAGTACATACTCATGTATAAGCCAAGTTTTTCAGCACATTTTAAATGCAGATTTTATGGTAAAATTAGGTGCCTTGGCTGATATGCAGGTTGCCTTATACTCGAGTATATGCGGTAGGTTCACTGCTTCTGAAGCGACAATGAAACAACAAAGCAGTGTTTGTCTGCATGAGGACAGTGAGAGTAGCTTTGGAACTGACACACTTCACAGTATATCCTGCCGTATCATCCGTTACTGTTATATTTTCTTTGTTTCATTCCACCTTCCGCAAGTCCACGTAGAAACCCAACAGAGCCATTTACATTTCAAACTGGCTGGCAGTCAAGAGACCAAGAAAGAAGTGAGAGCATGCTCCTACACTAAGTCACTCATAGAAAGCACAGCGCTCCTCACTGTAAGTTCCACAAAGTAGGTTTTCAGGGACTCTGAGACAGAGTAAAAGTATATTAAAGCGTGTGGAACATAAACTTAAGGAAGGAACAAATGAGAATGACGTGCTTAGGAGATGCAAAGACACTGGCCTATTCAGAACCGAGGATGATAGAGAGCTGCAGATGAAGACACCAAAAATAAGGATGAAAACTATGGAAGATCAGAATAGATAAATTTTAAGCTACTTGCAATTGTTTTACTTTTAATGGCTATCAAAGGCCAACACTATTTAATGAGGTCTTTTAGTAAGTGCCAGTGTTGGACATCTGTTTTGTGACACTTGAAATATCACAGTTACTGGCTCTGTACACCGGCACCCTGATGATCCTCCCTCAGGTCCCACCAGGCAGCTCTTGCTTCTTGTCTTAGAACAGCAAGAAACCAGACATTTAAGGTAGTTAAGAGTGCCCAAGGACTACTCTTAAAGAATAGTCAGCATGAGCTCATGGATCCATGTTTTCTCCTTTGAGACACATTTCATAAAGCTTCTCAGAAGACTGGTTGTGGCAGTGACCAATGTGGTAATATTTACATTATCCCCCCACCGCCCTACTTTACTCCTTTGGTCCTCATCACTGCTGCTCTTGGGGATTTCCAATGCACTCTGCTCCTCACACAAATGACAACAGGTGTCTACACTTGTTGCGTCATCTGAGAGCTGTCCTGTAGAGATCTTAGCTCTTTCTTCACTTTGAGAGCCTGCTCCTAGTCAAAACCATGTTTCGGTGGGCGTGGGGAGAGCCTTAATTTTGCTAATCAGAATGTCAGAATGAATTTCTTTTGCTTGAAACAGAAAGGACCTTAAGATATCGTCACTCAAATAGGGCTAAAAACAGGTTATTTGCAACCAAATCCACTGACACCAATGTAAGCTAAGAAAAGCATCCATGTTCAGTACGCTGTTATTTCTGATATGAAAATAGAAAAAAAGAACAACGAGGAAAAGAGAAGTTAGCATAAGATTTGAATTGAAAACCCGGGTGAGAAATTTAGGGATAGAGGAATATAGGTGTAGCCTCAAAATAGGTAATGCAATCACTTTATTCTGCTTCATTTTGTTTCAAACCACAGTGCATACAGGCCTAGGGGATAAATGAGTATGCTTGCAAATTAATATTCCTTAGTTGCTTCTTTGACCTGAAGAGCACAGGGGTGGGGATGGGAAGCAGAAAAGTTCTAACCACAAGTACTTTAGTTCTATTTATGTTTACCGCCTTCTAAAATTGTTAAAAAATATGTAACTTAAAGAATCACGTACTTCTATAATAAAAAATATTTTTAAAATTGTACTCAAGAGCCAACATGAAGAGGTTCTTCTGACTTAAAATGCTATCATTGGAAGTTCAATGAGAATAATACTGCGATGGATTGAAACACATCAAATAGCTAAGAAATAAGGAAATGGCAGACCTGGAGCATTCTTGCTTCTTGAACTCCTAATGAATTAATCGAAGTAAGCACTGAACTTCAATAATTACTAGCCTATTGCCATCGAGTCAATTCTGACTCATAGGAACCCCACAGGACAGAGCAGAAATGCTCTTTAGGATTTCTGAGACTGTAACTCTTTACGGGATGTGGCAGCTACATAATCTGTTGTCAATTTGAGACTCAAGAGTGAAGGGGTGGAGTTTAGTTTATCAATCAGGTCACAGCTTGAGGACCTCATTTGGAGGCGCTCAAATAGATAGATTGCTGGAGGCTGGATGCTTGCACACTCACTGAGAGACATTACTGACAACAAGCCTGATGGAGCTACACTGATGCAGCCAGAGCTCTGGAAGCGGAGGAGCCACGTGGAGACCCCTGCCAGCACTGGGATGCTGCTACCGCCACTGGATTCACAAGACCTTCCACCCATTGGCCTGTGATCTTCCTGCATTCGG